ACAGTCTTTGTTTACTTACCAACTATTTTGATAATGTGAATACAATATTACACTATTTGCGCTGTGTTACCTAGTCTTAATAGATCAAATAATTTATAAAAACTAATAATTCTCAAATAGTGAAATAGTCTCCTTATGCACCTCCTTATTAGCTAACCACAATGACCACTGTGAATCAGGAGTTTTAACTGTACCCCGTGGCACGTACAGTCAAGTTTTGGCTGTTCCCTCTCTGTGTGTGGCCACCTTAATAAACAGATCAGTTTTAGCCATATCAGCTCTGAGCTTATATTAGTTTTTATACGACCATTCCTTTTTCGATCATTTACTGTATAGATTTCCATAGCAGTAAGTTCAGTTTACGGGTTGCTACGACTAACAACTAAAAGGCGAACGGTAAGTAAATTACTTACTGTTCAGCTGAATGGTAAATAATCATGCATTCCAGATTTTTTTTATTTTAAATTCCATGCGTGTTCGACTTCGACATTTTCGCTTTCAGAATCACTCATGATTGATATTTTAAGCAAATAAATCACTCACTAATAGTCGGAGAAAGAAAATTAACTCGAAATCAAGCCAGATCAAATCTAAATCGACAGCGGTCAAAATGGAAATTGATTTTTAAAATTCTTGTTTATATTAATCGAAACCATAGTAACAAATTTTAAATTAAAAAACGACCGTGTTGATGTTTGATATAAATTCTTTCAATTTATGAATTTGATAAAAAGACGCAAATCTTTTGATGGTCGTACAAAAAATAGTATAAGCATCACGAACGTTAAGGGGGTTTACTGCTCTCAGACAAATTCTCCAAACTTTTGCCTTCGTCCAGTAAACACCCCTTACCGTTCTTAATACTTAATATACTATAATAATGACCTAGAATAGCTATGAATCTGCATAAAAATTCAGAAAATGAAGATTGCGGTAGGAGTTTTATATAGCGCTCCCTTCAAACCCGCAAATTATATTGACAGCCGACGTGGACAAAATAATACGTATGGGAGACTTAAATATAGATTTCCTAGTTCCAAGTAGTCGATTACAAAATTTAAATCAGGTTTTGGATATTTTTAACCTCAAACAAGTGATCAACACACCTACAAGAATTACCAAACACTCAGCAACTCTTCTTGATATTATATATGTCTAAAGTCATCCAGAGAAATCCAAGAACATGGTATTTTAGACTTACTAGATGTAACGCATCATATGCTAACTTTTTGTGAAATCGAAATTTTAAGTATTTTGATACAAATGAATTTTCCCGAGCCATTAGAAAGACCAGATGTTTGTTTTTACAGAGTTACCAAAAACTTCATGAAATTTGTAACATTTCGGAGTAATTAAAAAAAATTGTTTGCTTTAGCATTAGAATTCAACGAGTCTGAGCGCTTTCCTAGTCAGTGTTTCTATGGGAACGCGACGTTTTTTTTGTCAAGTTGTTTACTCATTATTCATTTTTGATTCTTCGGAAGGGCAAAAGTCTGCTTAGCGAGTTATTGTGTTTTGGGAGTGTAGTGTCTGTAATAGTGACCAATTAGTACTCCAACACTTCGACTACCTGTCGGATCATCGGTTCGCTGCAGCTAGTGGGTTACGGCCAAGGTAATTTTGGCAACGGCTTAGCGTCGGATCATACCCTGTCTCCGAGAATCAGTTGGACCTCAGACCACCTAGAGTTAATTAGTTTTTTTATATTACAAGATTAGTTTTTTTTTTTTCCTATTATCGTAAATTCTCTTTCTGTCCCAATTTATACAAATCCATCCTTTCGGGCAGCTTAGAATTATTTTATAAACTTGTTCCAGGTCCTTTCGTTTGGTTTTTTTTCCTTCTTCTTCTTCTGTCCCTCCCCGCCCCCAAATTTGACCTAGAAGAGCAGAAATCTTTTTTTGTGCCTTTTGAAGCTGTACGACTAACTGCTGATTTGTCATTGGTGGAAGCGGTGGAAGCCAGCTCATCGTCATTGTGGACATTAAGCACGGTCGTACAGATAAGTTCTTCAAGTTTTCCGTTCTACTTAGTATTTATTTATTTATTTTTAATTAGTTTAGTTTCGTTCGACGTTGTGTCAATAATTTTGTTTGATTTCTCTATTACCAACTGAGAGTAACTAATTTATAAATTTCATCTTTGCGCCTTACGGGTTTTGCTGGCGATTCGCCTTGCGTTTGTCGGCCTCAGATCTGATGTTGGTTAGAACCTCTGAAAAGGTAGTCGCGGTAACACACCACAAGGTATAGATAATTTTTTTAATTAATATTATTAATAGTATCTACGGAATAGAGATGTCACGAGTTTTGTTTCTTACCGTTATTTTAGTTTTGTATTAATTTATTTTATTGGTGTGTTATGTTTGATTATTATAGTTGTTTAACGTTATAAAGTTTTTTTTGTATTACGTTAATTATCTTCTCTTGTTGTTTCACACTGCTTGTCCTCCGTTTTCGAATTTAGGCGGTTGTGAAATTGATTACACGTCGTAGGCCGGCGCTATAAAATAAATTCGTGGCGGCCCCCCTTTTTTTTTGTTGTTTTACCTTATCTACAGCTTAAGGTTAACATCGAACCCCCCACCTCCGCTGGAGGCTGGTCGGAGCAAAAGTGCCGTCTACAAAGCAGGTAAGGGAGCTTTCTTTTGTTTTATTTATTTTCTTTTTTTTCCTTTTTGTCTCTTTCATTCCTCCCATTAGTTTATAGAATTAAAGGCGTTACAAATTGTTTTGCAATATCCTTTTTTAGGCAAAAAAAATTGTTCAATAACGAAATTATTTATGTTAACAAAATCAACAATTTAAAGAAGAATGATGTTAATATTCGGTGTTGCCAACCCTAGCTCTAATAACCGCTCGCATTCCTCTTATTCCCGGACTCAATTAAGATGACGACAACTTCTTGCGGGATATTAGCCCATTCTTCTGCAATGGCTATTCTGAACTCTTGGAGTGACTCAGGAACCGGGATCCTATCTCTAATTCTTCGTTTAAGGTCATCCTACAGATGTTCTATAGGATTCATATTCGGGCTAGGTGCTGGCCAGTCCAAACACGCTATACGCTATATTTGACTAGTAGTCCGATTTTAATGCCCGCAAGTTTAATAACAGTAATAATAATAATAACAATAATAGATTTATTTCCAACAGATTGCACTCAATTACAGGAAATATATAATATTGAACGAAAAAAAATATATACAGTACAAAGTAAATTTACCCTTTATCCAAGCTTTAATTGTAATAAGTGCAAGGCACTTGCAACCCCAATTGTCACTCGTTGTCGGGAGCTGATTTCGGTTGAATTCTTGTTAACGACCCCTTAAAAATCACCTCTTCTGGACCTTCCTAGAAAATCCCAACAAATAGATCCATATATTTTTGTCCCATCTTGCTGTTAGGAAACATAGATGGAGTGTCTAAGTTCACTGTAATGTATATTTACTTGTGTTTGTATAATAAATGTGTTAACTATTGTTCGTGTTTTCGTTCCACGTGCCTAATATAACTAACACTTGCTATAGCTCGTCCTCTCCCGATGTGGCACTGAACCCTCGGGTTAAGTTTATGGTACCACATTTTCGATCTTTTACGAGGGAGTCGTTAGAACGTAAAGTGCGTCTCAGGCGTGCCTAGATCTTTTTGTTGAATTTCAAGAAAACGGCACAGTTTTGTAGCGACTATGATGGATAGGTACAGAGGCAGAGAAGGGCTTTGTCCGAGAAATCCCGTTATCAGAATGAAGTGATGCGATTCCCTCGCTTTGTAAAAATGTACAGATGTTTTGATAAAAGAAAAGATTGGAAATTCGGATGGATGACAGGCATAGATCTAACCTACCACAGGTGGAATGAAGTTTGCGATTCCACCTGAGGGAAACCGAGTCACAGGTAACAGATAGTATCCTAGTTAAGTCTCTAGCCAGTGGCCACTCCAAAAAGCTGTTCGACAGATTTGGTTTATAATCTAAAAGACATTGTCTGGGACTAATAAGAAAATGTGAATCAACAGCGATTTGGACGGTTTGCTGGTATAGTTCGAGAGAGAACGAGACGGCACTTCTTTTCAACACAGGGGGTTGCATCCCATTGGTTTTACTTTTTTAGCTCCCCCTGACGCCGAATGGAATCTTCACTTTTGGCGAAATGATAAAAGCGCATACCAGTGAGTGACTCCGTGCCCTCGAGCAGCGAAAAGGGAAGTTTCGAAAGGTAAGAGAATTCCCATTTTTTTGTGATGTATGATTAACACTTCTCAGGTAGAATATCAGATGAATTCACGCTACCCAATTTAAGATAATTTAATTTTTCTAAATATTATTTTTTTTAACTCACGCCCTAGCCTTGCTAGGCTGGTTACATAAGTCTTGACTACTACGACTGTAAATTAATAATAAAAATAATATTAGCTTTACCTAAGTATATCAACGAAACACAGAACATATTAGGATAAGAAAGGACGAATATTTGATGTTATATTTTCACAGCATTTCACAGCTCGTATCACATAAAAAAATATATTTCCCATATTTTTCTCTCTATCTGATGTTGGTATTCGTATTAGGCATACATATCATCTGGAAAACTATAGAATTAAACTTTGAAATTTTAGTGCAGACGACAAGATAGCAACCCGTATTTAATACTCTTACTTCAAAAATTTTTGTTTATTCTCAAAGTACCCACTGTTACGTAAATTTAACATTAAAAACTTCAACATCATAAACTGCTTACCTGCAGTTAACAATTCTCCTTCACTCTGAATTTTAACTATTTGGGTTATTGTAAAAAGAAGAGTTGAATTGTCAAACTATGCATACATGTTCATTTCAGAGAATTTTTTTAAGTTTTGGTCGTTCTTTTAGGGGTACTAGCAAGATACTAACGGAGAGCTCCGGTACTAAGGCGCTTAGGCGCGTTTGCTACAGTATACTTATCTACGTGTGAGATACGCAATCTATAAAAAAGATTATCTCTAGGGTAATATAGTTGATTGCCCAGTTAGTTATGAGAAATTCAGAAATTTGTTAAAACTACACGCAGAAAGTTGTAGGAACGTCTGACAATCTAGCATTCAGCGAGTTCTAGGTATGTAGTAAGAATTACGTGTTATTTGTAAACATATTTTATGGCTTTTCGTGCTCTATATTGTGCTACATTTATCCGATTAATTATAACAATTTATATAATTTTAACAAAAATGTTTCATTTTTGATCGATTTGGTTTAAAACACTGCTGCTTTATACTGGTGGCTGTACAGGCAGAGTTGTATCTTGATTCTCATTTCCTCATTAAATATCATATAACATCGTTCTACCCGCCATTAATTAATTTAAAAGGTGACTGACAGGTTTTCCAAACAATATAGAATTTCTAGTTTTAACTAAACTAATTACATGCCTTGATAAATTATTTCCTTATATATAAAAGTTTTTATGTTGCAATATGATATTTGTATTTTAATCGATATATCTTTTAAACGATAAAAAACCTTCATTCTGTATGACCAAATACTGATAAGTGTAAATATAACGAAAAGGTATTCATTGTTAATTTATGAAGTGGAATTTGATAGACCGTTAAAATGATAAACAATACTTATACATGTCTATTTCATTTTCAGTTAATACAAAAATTAAAATGTAAGAGAAAGTGGAGGAATTACTTTGTGTGATTGCATCTATTAACAAAAACGTTTACATCTAGAAGATTTTTTATACCAGAAACAAAAAATACGCTTCTCTTGTTTGTAGCGCTTCCGTACGTTTTAATAAAAAATAATCTCCCTGAAAAATTACTGATAATTTAAAAACCTCTCAAACGAACTTTTCTTCAACATTATCTTTTGAAGTTGAAACACTAATGAATGATATAAAAAAGTTTTCTCTAAAAAAGAAAAATGACTCCAAAGCTATCCCTAAGTTTAAGAAAAGTTTTTATCAAATTTAATACACCTTAAAACGAATAAATTTTTGCAATTATAATCTTTGTGGCAAATTTCTTTCTGCTCAGTGGATTAATTGATCTAATTTCTCTGATTTCAACTGCTTCACTTTGCTACGCTAAGTAATTGCCATTAACTACTTCATATTTTGCGATAAACTCGAAGCAAATGTTTTGAAAGACTGCCTTGTTTCCGTTTTTGTGTCTCTTGCATTTCTAATTACAGTTACAGCGATCAAAAAATGAATTACTCTTGTAAGTGTTATCAGAGAAATTATTTTCATGGTATTTTTTTAGTACAGCACTTTTTGTAACAATGTTCTCCCTTCTTCTAGCTGAGTAAATTTAATACATGTATGTACATGTGTGTAACGATTAAAATTCTTCGATATTTGGTTTTGGGTTCCAGTTTTAACTGCAAAATTACCTATTCGAAGTTCGAAATTATTATTAACCATCTACATCGGCCATTCATTTTTAAATTATGGATGTGAGGTTAAGTTTAAGATAACTAAATGTCTACAAACTGGTCGTAAAATGTTACACTTATATATTTTCGAATTTTTTAAACTGTTTGACGCACACTACAATCCGGACTAGTGTGTATTAGTGTGTATCGTGTTTCTGGTGCCAAAATAATAGAAAAGTATAAATAAGCTATGAAGAGATGTGTGTGGAAAGATGTTTTATTTTATTATCCTAATATTATTTTTTTTTAGAAGCTGAGGATAATGGAAGATTTAGTAATTGGTATTGATCTTGGTACGACGAATTGCTGTGTTTCGCTATATCGTAATGGTAACAGCAAGGTACTAGAAAATGATAGCGGAGATCGTCTCACACCATCTTTTGTGTTCTATACCAATCTGGGTGTTCCAACAGTTGGAAAACATGCCAGGCAACAAGCCGAATCCAACCCAGAAAATGGAATTTATGGTATTAGTTTCACAAAGGTCTCCCTAAATGTTATTATACAACATTTTTCTAGTTATAAAACGACTGATTGGAAAAAAATATGACGAGGCTTCCATCCAACATAAACTTAATAGCCTTCCATTCCAAATGGAATTTAACAGTTCCTACGACCCTATAATCGTAATAAAGCAAGGAAACCAAATTATAAAAAAGTCTCCACAAGAATTATGTTCGATTATTCTCCAAAAGTTAAAAAACGATGTTGAAAAAAAAATGGGAGTGGAAGTGAATAAAGTGATAATTACAGTTCCTGCATACTTTAATGTTTTACAAAGGGAAGCAACTTTAGCTGCTGCTCAGAGTGCCGGATTTACCGTGTTAAAGTTGCTCAACGAACCAACTGCTGCTGCTTTGACATATTACAATGAAAAAGACACCAGCGAAACAAATTATTCGTTAGTATATGATTTAGGAGGAGGAACATTTGACGTTGCAATTCTGAAAAGGAAGGGACACGATATTGAAATTATCTGTGTAAATGGAGATACAAACTTAGGGGGACAAGATATTGACAATTTACTTATAGATTATATATCTGATAAATTAAGAAAATCATATAATTTTGAAGCAAAAGAAAAAGATGAACACTGTATATTACGCAATAAGTGTGAAGAAGCTAAGAAAAGTCTATCGTTCTTTGAGGAAATTACAATAACTTTGATTGGCCTTGTCGAAAATCAAAGAAAAGTTGAGATACACTTGAAACGGGAAGAACTTGAAACAATTGCTGATGATTTGTTCCAAAGAACTATACAAATAGTTGACGAGTGTGTAAAAACTTCCAAAATTCCAAAAAATTCTATAGACGAAGTGATTCTTTCCGGTGGATCTACGCGCATACCAAAAATTCAGACGGTACTTTCTGATTATTTTGAAAAAAAAAAATTAAATACGTTTGTGAATCCTGACGAATGTGTGGCTGAAGGGGCCGCAATTCAAGCAGCTATGGTTTCGAAAAACCCAGAGCAAAGTATTACCAAAATTCAAATGAGTGAAGTTATTCCTTTATCAATTGGGACTGGAGATCAAGTAGGCCGAATGCGTTTTTTGATCAACAGAAATACGCCTATACCAGCGTTCGGTACAGTTACATTAAATACAGCTAAACGTAATCAAACAAGTGCGTTGATTAACGTATATGAAGGTGAACGTACAAATGTGCAAGACAATCGATTTTTGGGTAAAATGACCATAGAGAACTTGACACCGGCGCCTCCACGCCATTGCACTGTAAATATTTCTGTAAATGTTGACGAGAACGGCATTTTAAGGGTCAGTGCACAGGAAGTAAAACAGCACGGAGAAAACAGTAAAGAAATTAAAATAAATTATGTCAGAGGAAACAGAAGTCAGGGTGAAATTAAAAACACCTTAACTGACGCAGAAGAATGCAAGGATAAAGACGAATGCTTTATTAGATTTGCCGAAAAGAAACGTTATTTAATCAATTACTGTGAAAGTTATTTGTACAATTTAATTGCTAAAAATATTATCGACAAATACCGTAACATTTACGAATCATGCAAAGAAACTAAAAAAAAGGTGAAATTACTGAACCTTGAGGAGGAAAACGTCATCGAAAAGCTGATAATAAACACCCGAATGCAGTGTGAAGAAATAGCTAAAGAGCATAATTTTGAGTTTATGCCGAAATCTATCAATGTTACCACCGACTTGTCGGACGATTTTCTTCGTAATCTTAACCTCAACAACTAAAACATAAAGCTTATTGTATGTTTTTTTATATCACGAACACAAATTCGATGCAGTACCAGTAACAAGGTAGTTTGTTTGTACCGAATTCAAGTATAGCTCCATATAACAAGAAGAGACAAGTTAAGTTTATTGGTTTAATAAACTTGTTTTTAAAAAGAACTTTTCTTTTATTCACAAATATTATTATTACACTTGATTATTTATTATTGGATTATTTTATATTGATTGATTATTCACAATTATTTGATTATTCACTTATTTCTACTTCACAATTATTCACTTAAATAATTACAACTTATTGGGAGAGCGCGATTATGACGGGCTTATAAACTACGCGGCGGCGGCTTCTGATCTGAACTTAGTTACGCGGATGGCGGATGCTTCTGAACTGAAAAATGAATTATTCCAATGCCTTTTATAAGGAGGAAAACTGCAGAATTGAAGTTCTCATGTTGATATTGATGCAAGTGTGGAAGCGCATCTTGCACGTGGCAGGATATGGGTCTGCAGAATGATTGTCCATTGTGGACTTATGCTGATATCATAACACCTCCCTCGTTAGATTGAAAATCGGGGGAGCCTGCGATGTCGAATTTTCAAAAGTCTTCCGGTGGTGAACCTGACAACCATCGGGAAGGATATCTATGAATTCGGGGCTTGATACACTTGTGCCAAATGAAAAAGATTACTGTAACAATGAAAAATATACAAATTAAAATTGTCCAAATATTAGTGGAGTATGTGACGTATCCGTGATCCTCCTTTTGAAGATCCTGTTGTATTTCGTGCATCCTGTGGTAAATTGGGTCGATGTCTGCCAAGTCGACTGTTTCGAGTTGTAACGGTTCTTGTTTCCAAATTTCTTCCTTGAGTGGTATATTTGATGAGATTTCTAATTTCGGTGTTTGGATTGACTGTTTCTTGAATTCAGGATTCTGGTAGCTCTGAAGGGTCGTTGAGTTGATTCTTAATTTACATCCATCTGGGACGGTGATAACGTAACTTCCTTTTACTGATAAGTGTTCTTCTTGTTGTCCGCATGTTGAAGTGGCTGGTTGCTCAATTGGGAATATTCCAATCCATTGGTTCTTGTCGATTTTTCTGATTTTTGTGTTCTTAAGGTTGACTTTGATGATTTTACACTGATGGTAATTCTTTGAAAATTTGAGTAGTTGAATTTCACAAGGTGCTTCTTTAGAAATTTTACTGGTTTGTGGCAAGTTGCAGATATAGTCTCCAGGGGTGACTTCATTACATTTATCGTCGTTCAAACTGAAGTAAAGCTCATTAAGGTAGAGGTATTTGTGGGATGGTATAATTATTTGGTAAGTTTTGGAGTCATGCTGAATGGGAAATGGGTATAATTGGTAAAAATTGTAATTATGAGGTTCGGTAAGAGGTATCTCAAAAATAAACGTGATATGTAGATCTTTTTGATAAGCCTTAATTTGGATTATTCTTTCGTAGGTTAAAAGGTTTGCTTCGTTGGCTTCGTGGGCGAGGCTTTTTTTGTCGAGTTTGTTCTCTACTAATTTTAGTTCATTTAACAGGTCCTTTGGGTCGATTATTGAATTGTGCAGTGTGTTCAATTTTGCGAAGCTGATTGCTGTTTCGATTTCTTCTAATATTCTTAATATTTCCTGCGATATGGTGATCATTTGGAGAAAAACTGTATGCAGATGTAGAAGTGGGTAAATCTCGATTTTTGTGGAAATACTTCGATTGATGATTGATTCGATTTCGGTGATCTTCCTTTTGAATATTTGTTGATTGATCGTTAATCTGGCGATGCTTTCATTGAATTTTTCTATTGCTGTGGTAGTTAGGGGGATTTGTTCATCAAGGAGAATTTTCTGTTTATCTTGCTGGGTTTGAATTTGGGATATTAAGGTTTCATAGCGTTGTCCGTCTTCGCTATCTAAATTTCCAGTGATTGCTTTTATTGTGCTACCTAAGAAGTTGATTAGGCCTCTTTTGGTTCTTCGATAGTTTTTTGATATTGTTTCGGGGAATAACTGAGTTATATGTTGTTCTATTTGCGTGAATAATTGGTCCAATACTGATTTATAACTGTGTACTTCGTTATGTAAACGTGTGGGATTAATTGTATTATTGAAATTATTTTCTAATTCTTTTGCGTGTCTACGGAGATTATCATATTCACTAATAAGCTTTTCTATGTCAAATATTCTTATGAATGTCCAATGATCGATTATGTTTCTGGCAATACCTAATTTTTGGGGTAGTAGTCCAGAGTTTTCGGTGATTTTTGTTATCTGTGGTTGAAGTTGGTTGGATCCATAGATTTTGATGATTATCCTGGAACAGGGGGTCTTAAATTATCCATATGTACTCTCTTGGTTTGTTGATCTTGTGAGCGTATCATGCAGGTGTTATCATTATTGATTGCAGTAATGATGTATGGTCCTATGTATCGATTCTTTGATTTATTTCGGTCAGCTTGGGGGTTTTTCTCGTAAACTTGTTGTCCTAGTACGAATGTAGTTTGATTGGGTTGTTTGTTTCGTCTTTCGATTACATGCTCCTTGTGTTGTTGCATATCTTTAGTGATTTTCTGGTAGATTAATTTCATTCGATTTTTGTGATCGATGTTGTACTGTTGGAAATATCGGGTGTCGTGATAAATATCAAAAGGGTTTGGTGACGTTGTGTGTCCTAATAATAATTCGAGTGGAGTATAATTGGTGGCTGAATGGATTGAGTTGTTGTATCCGATAATTGCGTAAGCCATGGTCGTAATCGGTGGGTCTTTGAAGTATTGTTTCAGAATTCGGTAATGTTCTGTGAGAGTTGAATGTAGTCTTTCAATTAAACCATTTGATTGCGGATGTCTTGGTGTTGTAAAGTGAGATTTGATTTTGTGGGTTTCCAAAAGTTTTTTCACGGTGTCATTTTGAAATTCTAGTCCTGAGTCAAATGTGATTTTTTCTGGTACTCCATAGTGTTGGAAAAAGATTAATAGTTTGTCACAAATTTCGATAGCGTTTTTGCTTGAAACTTGATATGCTTGGGCTAATTTCGTGAATGCGTCAATAACTGTTAAGAATGTGGTTCCTTCAATTGTAAATAGATCCATGTTTGTTTGTTGAAAGGGTCTGTCAACTTGTTCTGTTAGTTTTAGTGGAATTTCGGAGGGATGTCTTTCGTATTTTGTCCTTTTGCATATTTCACATTTATTGATGTAATCGGCTACATCTTTGGTTAATTTTGGCCAGTAATATAAGCGTTGTAATCTGGTGTATGTCTCACGTATTCCTCTATGATTGGTCTTTCCTTCATGGTGATCTCTTATTAATTCCTTTTGTTCGTTTTTGTCTGTGATTAGAGTTATTCTTTTGGTACAGCGTTTGAGAATCGGTGCTTCGGCGTTGAATGTTTCGTTGTATACTTTGCAAAAATCTCTGTACATTATTTCGGTGTCGAAAAAGCAATAATAATGTCTTTATGGTTCGCAATAATCTATTAAAAGATCTTTGATTTGTTGATTATTGTTGTCTTGAGCGATTTGAGCTTTGATTATTGTCATTCCGTTTTCCTTTATAATTTTTGGTCTTGACGAAGGGTTTGCAAAAACTGTGGTTATAAAAATTTGTCTTTCTTTTCGGTCGATTGCATCTTCACAGATGTTGATTGTTCTTGGTGTTTCGTTGTTTTCTCGTCGTGAGGTTACTGATGGTGTGTTTATTGTGTTAGTGATGGTACTTTCAGATTGACTAATTTCTGATTGATTGTAATTTGGTTGGTTATTTCCTGTTTGTCTGGAATTTGATGTATCGGATGGGTTTGTTCCTAAAATTGCTGATATTGTGTCTGATGAATTACTTGGTGATAAGTTTCTTGGTGAACTGCTTCTTGGTGAATGTCTTGGGGTATTGTTTGGCGTTGGTATTCTAAATGTTGGTATTGAGAATTCTTCGGGAGTTGTTGGTGAGAAGTCTGTCAAGTTTGGAATGGGAAGTGCGTCGCTGTTGCTGATTGTTGGTTCTGGGGTTCTTAATCCTGTGTTTTGGTTTTCATTTTCTTGTATTAGTTCGTTTAGTAACCGTTCTAGTTCTTCATCTGGTTGAACTGCAATTGATTGTGCGTCAATATCCAGAGGGTAAATTTGTATTCTTGAGGGTGCGTCAGCATTTGTGTTAAATTTTCCTTTTTTGTAGACGATGTCGTAATCGTATTCTTCTAGCTTTAATCTCCATCGTACTAATTTTGAATTGGGTTCTTTGAGTGAAAATAGCCAATGAAGTGGGCGATGATCTGTATAAATGGTGAATTTTCTTCCGTATAGGTAGGGTCTGAAATATTTGGTTGCCCATACTATCGCTAATAATTCCTTTTCGATAGTTGAGTATTTTTGTTCAGTCTCATTGAGTGTTCTTGATGCGTAAGCAATTGGTTTATCTTCTCCTAGTTGTCCTTGTGATAAGACTGCTCCTAGGGCGACATTTGATGCGTCTGTTGTTAAGATGAATGGTCTTGAAAAATCTGGGTATTGTAAAATTGGATGGTTGATCAAAATTTTCTTACAGGTCTCGAATGTTGTTATGAATTGTTGGTCATGTGTTATCTTGGCATTTTTCTTCAAGCATTTTGTCAAAGGTTTTGTGAGCTGTGCAAACTTTGGTATGAATTTTCTGTAATAACCGAGTAGTCCTAAAAATCCTTTAATTTCCTTCTGGGTTTTCGGTAATGGGTAGTTCATGACTGCTTTTATTTTGTCTGGGTTTGGTTTTACTCCTTCGGGTGTGATAACGTGTCCTAAATATGCTACTTCTTTTCGTAAGAATTCGCTTTTGTCTAATTGTATTTTGAAGTTTGCTTTCCTTAATCTTTCAAAGACTTCTTTTAATCGTGAGATATGCTCTTCAAGTGATGTTGAAAATATGATGATGTCATCAAGGTAAACGAGGCATTTTTCGTTCTGTATTCCTCTTAGAATATTGTCCATGACTCGTTGGAATGTAGCTGGGGCATTCTTTAATCCAAAGGGCATACGTAGAAATTCGTAATGTCCATTTTCTGTGCTGAAGGCTGTTTTTTCTATGTCGTCAGGGTGCATTTCCACTTGGTGAAATCCTGAGGCTAAGTCGAGTGTGGTGAAGTACATGCTCTTTCCTAGCTTGTCCAAAATGTCATTGATGTTTGGTAATGGATACTTGTCGTCGATTGTTTTTTCATTTAACTTTCGGTAGTCTACTACGAGTCTCCACTTCTTTTCTTTTGAAGCGTCCATTTTCTTGTCTACGATCCATATGGGTGATGACCAAGGTGAAATTGAAGGTCGAATTATTCCTTGTCCTAGCATTGAGTATATTTGTTTTCGTACTTCTTCTTTGTGTACTTCTGGGTATCTGTATGATTTTGTAAAAGTTGGATTTTCATCTTTGGTTCTTATTTGATGCTTGATTTGGTTGTTGAACGTTAGAGGTAAACGTCCGGTGTGAAAGATGTCTCGATATGCATGGCATAATTTCCAAATTGCATCTTTTTCTTCTGTGTTCATATGCTTTAGTCGGAGATTGTATAGATTGTCTTTTAAGATTTCGTCAATATTCGGGTGAATTGGACATAATGATGGTTGTGGATTGAATTCGTATGTATTGACCGTATTGATTTCTAAAGGCTTGAATAATGTGAAGGTCAATTCTTGATCCGTTGGGTTGATTATGGTGGTCGTTGCTTTTTTGTCCTTGACGGTGACGTATGAGGCTGGTATTTCGGCTGCGTCGAATTTTTGGTGGTGTAAGATTCCTTCTGTGATATCTTTGTCAACAGGTATTTGAATGATTTGTTCAGTTCTTGGTTGAAGATTCATTTGAAAAACTGGTTTTCTTCTTTTTATTTCATCACATTCAAAGTAAATGGGAACTATGGCTTTTTCTGTTATCAAAAGATTTTTTCCAAAGTCTAAGCATGCGTTTATTGTACGTAGGAAATCAATTCCGATTAATCCATCGTATTTAGGATTGAAGTCAAATAGAAAATGTTTTTGTTTGATGTCTGGTCTTCCAAAAATTTGCGAAATTGGGATTGTTACGCTTTCTGAATGTTGAGTGGTTGCGTGAACTGAATGTATTTGAAATGCATCTTCTCTGATGTAAGAAGGATAAAATTGTTGTGCGACTTGAGGGCTTAGCAAACTGCTAGCTGATCCAGTGTCTATCATTAATTTTAAATTTAATTCTGGTGTCCTTATGTATGGCAATCTTGAAATGTAGTTTGTGTCTATGTTGAGTTCGATTGTAGGCTGTTGTGGGCGAAATATTAAGTCTGGTCCTCGAGAGGCGGGGTTAGCCAAAAATTTTGATTTGGAGAAATTTCTTCGGGTATAACAGCTTCATTGGAATCAGTTGTCGCGAAAGTTTGTCCTTGAAATTGTGCAAATGTGCCATTTTCATCTGATTCGTTTTCTTCAAGTTCATTTGGAAATGGGAGATAACTTGTTTGAGGTGAGTCATTGTCATTGTGATATAATTCTTCGAAGGTGTATTTTCTTCTTTGATTTTGATTTGAATTTTGAGTTGGCCTGGCTGTCTGTGTGTCCATTGGTACAACTTGAATTCTTATTGTTTGTGTTTCCATTGCAATTGGCCTTGGAAAATTGTGTCTCGCATTCGGATTTGGTGCGAATACATTTCTTTGAAAATTTCTCGGATTCGGATTTTGGTTGAAATTCGGGTATTGGTTTTGCTGATGATTTTGCGGATAATTTTGTTGATAGCTCGGCATTGTGGGAACTTGATGATAAATTGGTTGACGCGGAAATCTGTTTGAGATATTCCTTTGTCCGGTATTTTGCTGATGTATGCGTTGCATTTGAGGTTGAGGTCGCGAATGGAACTGTGTGCGTCCTTGATTCGGATGTGAAGGTTGATGATTAGAAGAATGTTGAGTTGCATTTCTATTTATGAAGTGCATGGGACTGTTGTTTGATTTTAATTCACGTGATTTGTTCTGAATTAAATAATTTGTTCGATTTTTTACGTATAAAATGTTTTCTTCATTGAGTATTTGTGCTTGTGCTGCTTCCAGCGTTTGTGGATTTCTTGATCGAATTATTGAACCGAGTGGCTCTCGTAAACCACTTAAAAATGATTTGAGTGTTAAATTGTCGAACATGTTTCTTTTTACTATTCGAATTCCTTCATTGGGTTCTGTTACTGCAAGATTTGAAAGAAGAAGACTTTTCATGTCTTGTTTCGTTTTCTTGTTTTAAAAGCATTAAATCTCGTAAGAGCGAGTTTTCGTCTCTTTGATCTGCGAAGTTTAATTGTAAAATATTTTTTAAGGCTCTCCAAGTATTAATTTCTCTTGATCCCGTTACTACTTTTGCCTGTCCGGTTAATTTGTTTTTTATCGCGGTTAATAGGAATTTGTTTATGAATGCTTGTGGATTTGCTGCGTCGTGAAATTGTGTGACGATTAATTCGCAAGCAGAAAGAAAGTCGGCGAGTTCAGATGCTTCTCCAGCGTATTTGGGAATGATGTCCAAAAACGATGAATTAAATTCCGCCATTTTTTGATTTTGACTGTTTTGATTGTCTTCGGTTTCAACGAACAACCGTTCGATTAATTGTACGAGATCCTCAATGGAATCGTTCATGCAAGGGATTTGATTGAGAAAGGAACGAGTTTTTACTTACATTAACGTCAGTGCGAAGTGTGTTTGCATTTTTCTTTTCTTGAAACAAAGTAGGAGTCTGGCGATTCTTGTCCAGGAGTCCTGTGGCGATTGTGGAGAATTCGGCGATGCTTGTCCGAAATTCTGCGGTGTGAAGGCGATGCGGAGATGATGCGAAGTTTGGGCGATGCTTGTCCGAGATTTTCGCGGTTGAGATGGTTCTTTTTCGGAATCGGGTCTCGAACGATTTTTGTTTCTTAACACGATCCGTACGACTGCGCCAGTTAAGTTTATTGGTTTAATAAACTTGTTTTTAAAAAGAACTTTTCTTTTATTCACAAATATTATTATTACACTTGATTATTTATTATTGGATTATTTTATATTGATTGATTATTCACAATTATTTGATTATTCACTTATTTCTACTTCACAATTATTCACTTAAATAATTACAACTTATTGGGAGAGCGCGATTATGACGGGCTTATAAACTACGCGGCGGCGGCTTCTTAGTTACGCGGATGACGGATGCTTCTGAACTAAAAATGAATTATTCCAATGCCTTTTATAAGGAGGAAAACTGCAGAATTGAAGTTCTCATGTTGATATTGATGCAAGTGTGGAAGCGCATCTTGCACGTGGCAGGATATGGGTCTGCAGAATGATTGTCCATTGTGGACTTATGCTGATATCATAACAGACATTTGTTACTTTGTCTTATATAGGTTTGTTATGATATCAGCATAAGTCCGCAATGGACAATCATTCTGCAGACCCATATCCTGCCACGTGCAAGATGCGCTTCCACACTTGCATCAATATCAACATGAGAACTTCAATTCTGCAGTTTTCCTCCTCATAAAAGGCATTGGAATAATTCATTTTTCAGTTCAGATCAGAAGCCGCCGCCGCGTAGTTTATAAGCCCGTCATAAGTTGTAATTATTTAAGAGAATAATTGTGAAGTAGAATTAAGTGAATAATCAAGTAATTGTGAATAATCAATCAATAAAAAATAATCCAATAATCAATAATCAAGTGTAATAATAATATCGTATTTGTGAATAAAAGAAAAGTTCATTTTAAAAACAAGCTATTAAACCAATAAACTTAACTCGTTTAAACGTTTTCAAAATGATAATAATACTTGGCAAAAAAAAATGTGTAATGTTTTAACACAATTTTATTTGAAAACAAAGCAAGATTTTAGAGTAAAAAAAGATCGAACCATAAGAACTATCTCACGGAAAGATTTAGTCTGACACTTTCTTTTCTTTTTTTTTTTGAAATGTATGCGAAGGCAGAGTGAGGTGTGGGTTAAATCGAGTTCAAGTTTTCACTTAATTAAGATGGGTTTATAATATATTTAATTCATTGAATTAAATCACATGCATAGTGTCGTACCACTGAGTAATCAGGTAACCAGTATCAAGACGTCGAAGGACATTAGACGTAACTGTAGTGACTATATTCTTGGTAACGATTAAAAAAAAGTACGAAATAATAAAACGCACGTTCATTGCGGTAAAATTAGATCGAATAATCCGGTCACATAATGTAATGGGTGTTGTGGTACTGTTCACTATTGTTGTATCGGCGTATCAGAGTCGGGCACAATAACTACCTCAGCAAAATCTCGTTTTTTTATTTTTTTACACTTGTACCTCTGTTGTGGGGTTGTGGAATGATCGTTAACTTGATTTTTTACAATCGATTGTAATTTATTCTACATTATACGAGTTTTACAAAACGGTACGTTCTCGTTGTTTTGTGACAGTCTTTCCCCTTGATGCTCGTCTCCCCACGCCACGCACTTCCCATTGCGCGGCAAAGTTTAAAATGAAATCTTAACCTAACCATTCCCGCCCCCATTGAAATGTTAATTTCAATCTTAAAGAAATAAAACTGAACTGTTGCTACCAATTATCACTAATAAATGTGATGAAACGGCAAAATGCACAAACGGTGCACGCTTCGACGAAACACTCCGTTCTTGGTTCGCACGTCGACGACTCTCACGACTCCATCGGGACCTGTATGTGTTGCGATGATTCGAGCCATGTTCCAGTGTAGGGGTGGAAGATTTTCTTCCTTGATTAGAGCCATAGTACCAACCTCGAAGCTCTTGTCACTTTTTCTCCACTTAATTCGTTCTTGTAACTGCTGCAAATATTCATTGCTCCACCTCTTCCAAAAGTGCTGCCGAACCTTTTGAAGGAGCTGCCATCTGGATAGTCGGTGATCTGAAACATCGAGATAACAACGCGAATCAGCCTCTTTAAGTGGAATGCCAATAAGGAAGTGGGATGGGGTCAATACATCTAAATCATTGATATCCTCAGACATTGGCATCAATGGCCTTGAATTTAAAACGGACTCTATTTGAGTAAGAAGCGTATAATACTCTTCAAACGTACAAAGAAGGCCCCGAGTGACAGTATACAAATGCTTTTTGACAGATTTGACAGCTGACTCCCACAGCCCGCCAAAGTGAGGGGTTCGAGGAGGAATGAACTCCCAGTTCACCCCCGACGATGCAAGCGACTCCTTCAATCCGTTTTCATTTTCTGATGTGAATTCTTGCAGTTCTTTTAGTTCGAGCTGCTCCCGCGAAGTTTGTGCCATTGTCAAAATAAATAGTCTTGCATAATCCTCTTCTTGCCGTGAATCTTCTGAAGGCAGCCAAAAATGTTTCAGTCGTCAAGTCAGTTACTAACTCCAGGTGAACAGCCTTCGTTGATAAACAAACGAAGACTGCGATGTAAGCTTTAGTCTCCCGCACCTTTCCTCCTCTTTTGCCTTCTTTCAATCTTATGGGGCCTGCATAGTTGACTCCTGCTGACTCGAAAGGGAAACCTGATGGATTCACCCTTGCTTTTGGTAGATCTCCCATTATCACTTCTGCTCCTTTCGGTCTCAACTTGAAACATGGGAAACACCTTCTTGTCACCTTGCGAACTTCTCGACTTCCCGAAAGAGGCCAATATCTTTATCTCACAGCATACAACAGTTGTCGAGGTCCACAATGCAAGAGCCTTTCATGTTCATGCTTTAGAAGAATTTCTGTGACGTGATGCTTTGAAGGCAGTATTACTGGATGTTTTTGTGCATATGGTATCTCTGCATTTCTGAGTCGTCCTCCAACTCTGTGCAAGCCATCAGTATGTAAACTGGGGTTTAAAGAAAGAAGATGACTTTTCTTGTCAAGATCCTCTTTCCCTCGTAGATCTGCTAATTCTCGCGGAAATGCTTCTTCTTGAGTCATAGCAAGTATTCGCAACTCAGATTCTTCCAATTCTTTCACTGTCAGCGGTCCATGAACAATCGCTTTTTTCACTTTTATGTTGATGAATCGACAACAAAAAGCGATGACTCTTTGCAATTTTTTGTACGATGAAAATCGTCTCAGTATGTCATGTTGATGAATTGTCAAGGTGCTGACTAATTTTCTTTCCGGTATTTCAATGCTCGGTAACCTTTGCTCTGGCCACTCGTCCAATGAATTGATCAAAGTGGGACCGTTCCACCAATGTTCTAACGTGAGCAGCTGTTCAACTGATACTCCTCTTGAGACGTAATCTGCAGGATTTTCTGCTGAGGGAACGTGGCGCCATTGATAATCTTGACTTAACTCTTGAGTTTCAGCAACTCTGTTAGCCACAAAGGTTTTGAGATTACTTGGTGCAGTTTGAATCCAATACAAAGTTACTGCTGAATAGCTCCAAAGATTAATTTCCACATTTTCGAGCTTTAGTGCAGTGACAACATTTGCGACCAATCTTGATAACAGTACAGCTGCGCACAGTTCTAACTTTGGAAGTGTTATAACTTTGAGAGGTGCGACTTTTGATTTCGAACAAAGAGGTGATGAGCTTGGTACATTGTTGTCATCCATGGTCGTGATGTAAATGCAGGCTCCGTAAGCCTTTTCGGATGCATCAGAAAATCCGTGTATGACAATACCTTTATCCGGATTTCCCAGACATACGTTACGCTTCAACTGCAGTGTTTCTAATTGCTTCAGTGATTGAGAAAACGTTGTCCATTTACCTTTGAGTTCTTGAGGTAGATCTTCATCCCATCCTAATTCCTGCTTCCATAAATCTTGCATGATGAGTTTCGCTTTTATTAGAACAGGACTTAGAACTCCTAGAGGATCATAGATTTGAGCGATAGCTGACAAAATTTGTCATTTTGATACTTGATCTGCTTCTGGTAAATTAATGCTGAACAGTAAAACATCCAGGTTGCTGTTCCACAACAGACCTAATGTTTTTGAAGATCTTTGTTCGTCGAGAATCAATAATTCATCGGTTTTTCCAGAATCTTTAATATGCTGAAGGATACGTTTATCGTTTGCTCTCCATTTTCTTAAACAGAACTTGCCTGATTCTGACAATGTGGATACTTGTTCTTGTAATTCGATGGCTTCTTGTAGTGAATTTGCTCCTGAGAGGAAATCGTCCATATAAAAATCGTCTTCCATGGCGTCAGCGGATCTTGGAAATTCTGCTCGTGCTTCTAGGCTTATTTGTCTCAAACAACGCATTGCCAAAAATGGTGCATTTGCGGTGCCCTGTGTCACTGTATTTAATGTAAATATCTGAATTGGATCGCCAGGATTTTTACGCCATAAAATTCTTTGCAGATTGCGGTCGAGTTTGGAAACATATATCTGTCTAAACATCTGCGCATCATCACCAGTAATGACATATCTTCAAGCTCTAAATCTAAACAAGATTTGAACAAGGTCATTCTGTAGATTGGGACCTGGTAGAAGCACATCATTTAGTGAGGTTCCTAATGAAGTTTTCGCGGGGGCATCAAACACAACTCTCAACTTTGTCGATACGCTTGATTCTCGTATGACTGGCTGATGTGGAATGTAATACACTTGATGAGTTGTTTCATCTTCTTCATCTTGAATTTGAGACATGTGTCCTTGGTTCTCATAATCTTGTAAAAACTCTGTATACTCTTTCTTCAATTCAGCATTTTTCTCCAAACGTCATTCCAATGATTTAAATCTTCTCAGGGCTTGCTCAAATGAATCGCCAAGTTTTACTTTGTCGTCTTTTGGGAGCTCTACTATAAATCTTCCTTCTCGGTCCCTGGTATGCGTCTTAGAAAAGTGAATCTCACAAAAGTCTTGCTGTATTTGTTTCTTCTTCTGAGTGTGTACTTCTTCTATCTTCCAAAATTGCTCAAGTTTCTCGTCCAAATCTTCTGTTAAAAGGAGGCAATTCAAGGAAGTCGGTTGGCATGTTGTCTGCAATTCACCACCGACTATCCATCCGAGTTTAGTTTCTTGAAAAGCAGGTTGCCTGTAGTTCTGAATGTGGTTTCCACTTTCCAAAATTCTCCAAAAAAGTCCTGCTCCTATAAGCATATCTATTCTTCCTGGTTTGTCAAATGCTGGGTCAGCTAAATCTATGCCTGGAGGGATAATTAGCTTCTTGAGATTTAGTTTCACTTGCGGCAAATTTTGTGTAATGTTTGGAATCACCAAACATTCCAACTTTGTTGTGAATCATGACGTAGTTGATTTCAGTGTAATTTCTGCGGATTTGCCACGATCTGATATCTCCATCATCATGCATCTTTTCTCCAAAAACTTCATAAACTTGTCCAATGTTGGCTGTTGTGCTTCTTTTTCATAATCAACTTCTTTTTCCCATTCGTCTCTTAGCTGTCGATCAAGCTTGTTATTAATCAGATAAATAATGATGGTGTCCCAGTTGTCTGTAGGTTCACCCAGTGTCTTGAGCGAACGCAAATGAGTTCTCGTTTTGTCAATAACATTCCTGAGAACACCTGGATTTACTTTTGATACAACTGGAAGATCGAACAGACCCTTGAGATGAGTGTTTATGATAATATGATTGTTGGAGTAACGCCTTTGAAGTAGCTTCCATGCTTCATCGTAGTTATCATTTGTTGCTTCTAACGATGATATTATATTTAAAGCGTCGCCTTTCAGTAGACCTTTGAGAATTTGAAACTTTTGTACTTTCGGGATATCCTGTTGATTATGAACTGATTTTACATATGAATCTTTGAAAGAAAGCCATTGATCATATTCTCCAGAAAATGGATGAATAGAAATGGTAGGTAGTTTTACTTTGACACTGGTGGCTGGAGCTTGAATTGTATTATTCATCTGTTCTTGAATTGCAAATTCCTTCAACATTTGTTTTGCTCTCGACATGACTTCGTAATAAATCTTCTCATAACCTTCAAAACTTTCTATATGTTTCTGTACAGCTTCTTCAGTTTCCAACAAACATTCTATTTCCACACTTGAGTTTTCAAATTTTTCCCACACGATCGTTATTCTTTCGCATCTTTCATTTAGTTCTGTTTCAGTTACACTTGTTCGATCTACAAAGTCAATAAAGGATTTCAACTGCCTTTTCAAAGCGCCCCTTTTCACATTCAAAGATTTTAATTCTGCCATTATGTATTTTTTAATAAACAAATATTAACTTAAACTGATCAATAGTAGCAATATTTAACAATAAATTTACTATACTGCGTTTTAATTAACAAGTTGAGGTTAGAAACTTTAAATAATTGAGATTCCAAAACTTTATGTAAGGATTGAGGTTAGGAAATCTAATAATTTGCCACTTAGCTGATTCGCGATGTCCCTCGATGTTCCTTGCTGCCCCACGCCGCTGGAGACTGCTTGGCGCTTCGTGGAGGCCTCGTGTTGTCCAGCTACGAAGAACCTTCTCGCACTTTTCTGTTTTTCTTTGAAAATGGCGTCGATCGTAGAAACTTCTTGCTTGTGTTGTGATGATTTTTGCTTTTTCTTATTTCTTATGAAATCCGGCTCGAAGGACCACTATGTTGTGGGGTTGTGGAATGATCGTTAACTTGATTTTTTACAATCGATTGTATTTTATTCTACATTATACGAGTTTTACAAAACGGTACGTTCTCGTTGTTTTGTGACAGTCTTTCCTCTTGATGCTCGTCTCCCCACGCCACGCACTTCCCATTGCGCGGCAAAGTTTAAAATGAAATCTTAACCTAACCAACCTCCTAATATCTTCATCGAAAAGTTTCCAAATTTTAGGCAGCATTTTTATTTGTAACAATGGATAAAGATTTTGCGTTTTTCGTATCTAATTTTTCCCTCTCTTCAATAATATGTCAGAAAAAAGGAAAAAATAGATCACGTCTTTAATCTATTTAATTTTAATTTAATTTATTTACTTTACGGGATACCCTCTATATACAAATAAAGTATTTGTCTAATGAGTGCTAAGAAATTATTACATTTAAATGTAAACAACATAAATAAGAATTAATAAAAAGAAAGAAAAATCAAAAGAGATTATTAAGAAAATCAAACAAAAATAATATTCCAACAGCTTAGAAGTCTTCAGTTGGTTTTTAAAACTATTTCTTGATGTCCCAAACAATTCCACTTCATCATTATATGTATTTGCCAATCTTGACAATCTAGCAATAGGAGAAAAAGAACCATAATTAGTTTTATGAAAATCCATCTTAAATATGGGATGATTGCGAGTAGATCTTGAAGGACAACGTAACATGAACTTTTCCAAAAGTGAGTAACAATCTATTTCATCTGAAATCAAATTATGTAAAAATATTACATCATTTTTCGTTCTTCTCAGTTCCAACGAGTCCAACTTCAATACTTTCCTAAGTTCTTGATAATTATATTGATAACATGATAACCCTGATGCCCAGTCTATAACTTAGGTGAACAGATGTGCAAAAGTTTATTTTACACACCCTCCAACGTTTTGACATGTATTTGGTTAAAAGGAGACCAAACGGTACAGTTATATTCTAAAATGGAACGAACCAAAGATATATATGCCAATTTAAACGTATCAGTTGGAAACTCTTTTAGATTTCTATTAATAAACCCAAGGATTTTATAAGAATTGCAAGAAACAAGTTGAACATCTTCATTAAATGTTAGTTTTTGGTCCATCATCACACCAAGATCTTTTATCTTCGAAACTCGTGACACTTTGTGATCAGGGGTGCGATTTTGTTTCTCGATCCAAAAAAACCCGTTAGCGATAAAATCTCGTTTACTGATTAGTTGAAATGCTACATTTTTGTCACATTTCTCGATTCTGTCACGAAATCAAGTCTTCATGGAGCGATCTTTTCTCGATAGCTCTGAGTAAAGTGATAAATTTTGGAGACATAACCTCGAAATTTATGTCAAAATAGAAGTTCAAAATCGTAATTCTGAGTTATAAGTTCTTAAAATTAAGGTAATTGTAAACTTTTGAGCATTTAATATAATAAACTTATATGCAAAGAATAAATGCAAACTTTTGCATTTAAAACCTACGTAATGACATTTAATTTATCGCTTCGATCGAGAAACAAAATCGCACCCCAGATAACGAATACTGATAATCTACTGGAGTTTTATTTCTAGAAAAAGATATAATGAAACACTTGTTTGTATTAACCTCCATTAAATTAGTCTCACACCATACACCGACCCTTTCAATATCCTCTTGGAGAAGTACACAGTCTTCGTAAGGCCTTATGTCTTTATATGTTTTGAGGTCGTCCGCAAAAAAAGTCTATTAGAATTCCGTACTACTTGATTAATATCATTTTTAAAAAGCGAAAATAACAAAGGACCACAATGTGACCCTTGTGGAACACCCGAAGGAACAAGGACCTGTTTGGATATAAAATTACCGAATTTAATATATTGAATGCGATCCTTGACAAAACTACCGATCCAGCTAATGAACCTACTATCCAAATTCATTTTCTCCAGTTTATTTATCAAGATATTGTGATTGACTATGTCGAATGCTTTGGACAGGTCACCATAAAAGGAGTCAACTTGAGAATCATTTTCAAAAGAGTTTATTATAAAATTTTGATATTCTAAGAAATTCGTTAAAATCAAACGCCCTTCAATAAATCCATGTTGAAATGATAACGATTAAATTATTTGTCAATACATCTAGGCTGCTAGGTAATTAAGAAATCTAATAATTTAGGCAAAGCTCACACCCCCCGATAATTAGGAAACTCAGAACGATGCCCGGATTTGTATATGGGTGTATCATGACTATTCTTCCAATAAGAGGGGAAAACCCCAGAAGATAGAAATAAATTGAAGATGTATTGAATGGGGTTACTTAATGAGTACACACATTGTTTTATGAAATAAGCTGGTATGCCATCAGGTCCACAATTAAATGAACTTTTAAGATCCACAATAGCACTAAATACTTCACCTAATGAGAAAAGATGACTTCAAAATTCTGAATTGGAGTTTATTGAATACGACATATGTCAAAATTTGGATTATGATTCTGGCTGTATACAGATGAAAAAAATCAGGGAACAAGTTAGCAGTAGTAGCTGCACTATTACTTGTTACATCATTGTATTTCATAGTAATTCTTTTTCCATTAATATATTTCCAAAAAGCTGAAGAATTGCATTGCATTTCATTATTTATTTTGCTTATGTAGCTGTTATAACACTGCTTAGTCAATATTTTGCACTGTGACCTTGAATTGGAAAATGTGTTATAATCTTCAAAATGGCGATCCTATTTGAATTTTTGATGAGCTTGATTTTTTGCTATAATTATATTTTTTAATTCAAATGAAAACCATTTAGGAAAAGTAGAACTTCTATATCTTTTTATTGGTATGAATTCATTAATAATGTTATATAGATATTGGCAAAATAAATGTATGCAGTGGTCGACGTCTTTTTGATCAAATAACTCTTCCCAATCTACCGTTTTACCATGCTAGTAATGTTAAAAATACTATAATCGCAATCAGATATTTAATTGGGCTTTTGTAAACCGGGTGTAAAAACTTAAAAAAAATGGTGGTTGTTAATCGTTATTAGATGGTTTCATTACGTAGGAACTTTCCTCTGACCAACTATGAGTGTTCTGGGAATTAAAAATATCATCTCTGGTAAATGTTGCCTCATCTGTTTAAAACAATTTTTCAGTAAAATGTGGGTAATGCATACCAGTAAAATATTTAACTTTAAATCAGCAGCATTAAGACGGTTTATTACAGAAGCAATTTCATAATAAAACACTTTAATGTATTGAAATTGTAAAGGTTAACAAATTCGGTTTGTAATTTGCTTAAAAAAATACTCCATGTATTTGTTTTATCTGGTGTTAATAAAATACAAATTTGTTAATGTCACCAAATTAAAGGTATTTAAAAGTTTACGAATTTAAGTCACACAAATAAGTGGGATACTTATTTATGAACAAAAAAATTCCTGATGAAAAATTTTAAAATTTACAAGAAGCTGTTGAGTTATCCAAAAATGACGGTATGTAGTTAAGAAGGCTCTGAAGAAAAAAACGAAAAAAATTGTTAAAAAAATCCCTGCATCAAACTTTTGACAATATTAAACTTCAAATTTCAAAAATTAATTCCGTAATTTTGATTTGTATTAGTAAACTGCATGACAGTTAAATAAGTAGTTTATTAATAAATTTGATGCAGGGATTTTTAACCATTTTTTGAGTGTTGTTTAGAGCCTTTTTAACAAAGTACTATAGAGCTCTTCCGTGCTTGGATTAATATGATTCTTTTTTAACAAAGCATAAAAAAAATGTATTACAGATTTTGAGAAAAACTACCATTTAACTTTTTACTGACAAAACAAATTTCTGCTATTTTCAAAAGTCGTCACTTTCACTATTATACATATATTATGTCAAAATCTTGAAGGTCTTGGGATGAGTAGATAAATAAAATATTTAAAGATATCAAAGTATTTTGGATGATCAAAGAAAATAAATGCAGGAACTCACGTTTGTTAAATTTAAAATTATAATATCACAAGGAACTTTATCAGCTACAAACTTAACTATTGTTTGAGTTGTTCTAGACAAATGGAGATCTCTGATTTTCAAAAAAAAATTTACAGAAAAAAATTAGGAAGTTCCCCCACTCTAAAATATAACTTCTTGTGCAAAATTATAAAATTTAATTTTGCAATTTTTTTTATATAATAACCCTTATCAAGTTAAAATAAAGATATCTCTGTATGTTAAATTGTAGTGGCATAAATAACACTCCAGCAGCTCCTGCGCAGATCTCAAAATGAAATGTATTTAGCCAAGATAGCCAACGAAAAAATCTACTCTCAGTACATGCTTAATATGGACAGTTTATGTTTCCATTTAAAAATAATTCGACTATTAAAGCGCTTTAGCCAGAAATTTGATTGATTTGGTCTCCTTAAAGCAGAGAAAAAAATAATTCATTAATTAAGTTACAATGAATCAAAATGAAGTAATTATTATTTTGGTATTATTATTAAATATAGGCGAACGCGACTTTCTATATTCTTACATTTTCGACAAAATGGGGTGAACTGAAGTATTTAAAGTAGAGGAAGAACTACACAATAAAAATAATAAACAAAATCACGGTGGATTCA